GAGCCGTTGACCACAACTCTTTGAGTGCGGCTGTCCAGCCAATTCCAAAACCACCAAAAGGTCCATCTGTCAAATCCATGTCAAGTCATGGTATCGTTGTTTTAACTGATCCAGTCTCACTCCCTGCAGGACCCCAGTCTGAGAGAGACTGGTCTCCCCTCTAAATCCTGTCTCACTCCTCTCCCCGTTACCAGTTGTTCTTCCACGTGATGTATTCAGTCCAAGACAGCTCACAGGTTATTCTTCCTCATATGTTGCATGGCTATTTAGGTCAGGATGGAGATAAATATTATTGTGCCACTCAACTACCAACTCCATTAGAATAATGAGATCCACAATTTGCTTTTGATGATCATTCTAAAGTGCTAATAAGAAGAGGCCTGGGAATACTTTCAACATAAGTCCTTTTCCAGTATTGCTTACCTCTTTCTGGCAGCATCCTAAATGTGCATCCCTTTGGAAGACCTGACACAGCTTGGAAGTACCTAGGGCTTTCTCACACTAGCCTTTTTATTTCTGCTGGATGCCTAATAAAAACTGCCTGCCTTCTCTTAGACAGTCTTTCCTGTATCATAACATCAACACCACTGTAACAGACTGTATGTACTTTTACATTTCTCCAACATAAAGAGCAGTTTGCATCTCCAGCAGGCTTTAGAACAACTGCCTTTAACATTTTCATTTCCCACTACTCTTCTTCTGGGCAAGTCTGGCTTTGCTGATATAATGAATCATACGTTTAATAGTGTTACTGCTGGCTAACAAAACAGAACATGAGAATTAAAAGATTTCCCGTAATGATATGCAAGGGTATTTCCAACAAAAATGGATAAACATTTAAGTTCTGTTGCAGATCCAGGCAGCAAAACCATTAGTGGACACAAGTGCCCCTCCAATATACAGCCACCTTCATCGGAAGTTAGGGAAGCTGAAGGTATAGTATCAGCTATTTCACTGAGCACTAGCATGCTTATTTTCACGTCTCCTCTCAAAGAAAACAAAGAGACTACCAGATGGTCACAATTTCAGGGCCTTTATTTTTTCCTCCGTGCACTGATTGTTGCAACAGGACTATCAGGATCCATGAACAGCCCACTCCCAGCAGCATTAAATAACTTACCTTTATGTTTATTGATGAAATCAGAGCGCTTCAGATTAAAAAAGTGCTAAACTGTTCAAATAGCCTCCTACAAGGTACTTCTGCACAACCATGAAAAAAACATTGCAAATAACAAGAATAGCACAATCAAGATAGACACAGAGCAATGAACTGAATAATAGGATGTTAACATATTCAAAGCACAAGAAATAACAATGGGTAGCCTTGACTGGCAGTTATCCTTCAAAATCTTACTGCTCCCAAGAGAGAAATTTTTATTAAAAGATGAGAGTGGAAAATAAATTGTTACCTAATTAACTCTGCTCACTAAAAGGAAACAACAACAATTAAAAAAACCCAAATGTGAGCACAGTAGAAAATACGTGCAGCTAAACCCTGTCAAAGACTTAATTTCCAACACAGTGCCCCTCAGGCAATGGGAGCATAGCCCATGTAAGGACTTCAGAATTAATTTCCTTAAAATTGTTTATCATCTCACTGTGTGACACAATAATCCCCAGGCACCTTAAAATCATTTCACTAGCAAAACAATTCATTTCTCCTCCATGCATAAAATCATATGCTATATTAGGATGTGAATTCAATTGCTGTTGTTAATTTTTTCCTATTACTGTAAAAATAACACTGCTAAAGTTCCTTTGAAAATGAAACATCGCATAACCCACACACACAGAGGTTAACAAAAAAACCCCTAGCAGCAGGAACCCACTATTCCTAGGCATGTTCCCTTGAACTACACGTCCTGATACCTGGGAGTGAGACTGTGGTCCCAGTCTCTCATTCTCCTCCTTTCCAAACTGCTGCAGAAAGAAAGAAAAAACGCACAAAACTCTAATGTTGCAATCTTCTAGTCAGTGGTTCTTCTTTACAATCATTCTCCTCAGGGTTATTCAGAGCCTGATGGGATTACTTAATGCAACCATTTTAGGTACTTTATACTACAGCGTGACCAGCATCTGACCCACTTTGGCTATAAACCCCAGCAACAAGGCAGATGCACTACATTCCGAGCAGTAACTTGCTACTCTAACATTAGCCACCCAAAACTTTCAGAGCTGGATAAGCAGCTTGTATTTGTTTTATACAGGACATGCAATATCTTTGGAGTGCCTAGAATCAAATATGGAAAGAAAAAAAAAGGGAGGAACGGAGAAGAATGAATTAGTATGCTCAAAACAAGACTATTACTTCAGTGATTCTGTTCTGAGAGGCTTTTGAGAACGAGATGTTGAAGTCCACCTATGAAACGCTTTCCCTGCTTTCCTCCATCTAGCCTCTCTCTGATTGCCTCCAACTCAGCCCTCTGGAGAAGGCATTCTTGGGTCTCCAATAACCTTGAAAATAAGTTTTTCTCTTCACCTCTCCCCTATTCCTTCCCAATCCCCACAAACACACTTTAGCATGGATTGGTGTTCTTTGAAAAAACAATATGGTAGCATTTATTACAAATCAGACAATGCCCCAGGATATCCAAAGGGACTCTCCCTTCTCCACTGGATGCCTTCGATTTTCATCCCACTTTTGACACAGTTAACTTCAGAGATTGAGAGTATTAATATCTTCCATTTTAAAATCAAATCTCAAGAGGCTTAAAATCATGCTAACGATGAACAGAACTAGCTTATACTGCCTCATACATCTCTTTCCATTTGTATGTTACACCCAGTTGTTGCTTCTCTTCTTACACTAGCCTGCAACCCCTCCAGGACAAAAATGGCCTGCAACTGGACCTAATCCAAATCTCACTGCAGTCAATGGAAAAATTACCATTTGATCCAAAGCCCACCGACAACAACAGAAAGACTAACATTGGCTTCAGAGGAGCCTGGATGAGTCCCATCATGTGTCCATCACAACAATCCTAGATTTTGATGAGAAATCTATGAAGGCTGCTAGAGACACAAAAGATAATGATGATCCTGGAAAATAAATTGACAAATATTTATAGAAATTCTGCTCACACTGATGAAATGCATTTGCTAATCACGCAGGCCACTGCTGTGGTTGCAGGAAAGTGTTTCAGGGTCAAACCCACAGCATTGCCAAGGGTTTTCTCTCACTGCATCACCATGAAAATGGTGAAACGAAGGCTTCTCTCAACACTAGCACAGAGCTTTACCTGATCAGTGTCTGTCACACTCTGTGTAGAGAAGGGGACAACAATTGTGAACACCCTGTTAGGTATCCATGATATATCACTGCTGCTTGCTCTGGCCTTGTAAAAACAAAAGCATTTCTTTATCCCTTCTGTACACAAAGTTGGAGGAAGACCGACTTTCCGTCATCGAAAGAGACAACTGTTTGCTGCTTGAGAAGATGTCCTGCATCATGAGAACAAAAGGACAAATCGACAACAAAAATGACTATAAGGCCAAAAGGTAACATCAGCAGCACTATTTCTATGTAGTTATCAAGTTACCTTCCCAGTGACAAACATAGCTAAGGATAAACTGCTCTGTGAGGACATGTATTTTAAAAGGCAGCCTAAGGTATAATCAACACCTCAGAAAGCCATTTGCTTGCCCTGTCACATGAAATCCAATGCTGGGTCATTTTCCTCCTACCCTCTGTTGAGGAGAAGATGGCTTTAAACTAGTTTTTCAGTTTAATAACTGAGGGAATGAAATTAAAAAAAAAGAGAGAGGGAGAACATTGCCCTACTTTAAGGAAATAAATGAAGCAAACCTATTATGTCTCAGCAAAGCTGCTGTTCCTGCTAAGTGAGTCATTGCTGCTGACTTTGCCAGTTGTTCCTACAGACACCACCGGAAAGAGGGAGATCCAAAGCTTAGAGATGAAATAAAACTAGAGGAAAAAATAGAATTAAAATGAAAAAGAAAATTGGAGCAGGAAGCAGGCAGAAGTGAAAATATAATTCACTGCTCAAAGGAGACCAAGCAAAATATGCCTTGAGGATTTATCACTAGAGAGAATCACATATTTTTAATTCAAGAGGAAATTCACAGCCCAAATAGGGCACAACAAACCAGTCAACATCAGGGACAGGCTTCTGAAGTGAAGAGAATGGTTTGTATAACTCAGGTGGCAGTTGTTACCTCCTGTGATTCATTTACAGACAGACTACTTCATGGCAGACTGACTGCTTATCAGGCCCTAAAGTGTCTCCAGACAACAAAATGCAGCTCAGGTGCAAGTGACCCAGGTAAAACTCACTACACGTCACTGTCACGAATGTCCTGATATTTGCACAGTTCCTTGGGAAGACACAAATTATCCGAAACAGCGTTGATTGTGTCCACATCATGCAAATCCACTTCATGGCACTTACGGCTTGTCACTAGCGAATAATACCCAGATCAGTGCAGGCATCAACAAGCATCAGTTAACTCCACTGCTGACCATATGATTCCACAAGATATGGAAGGAGCAGAGCATCCTCCCACTTTTCATTCTCTCTCTCCCTTCCTGATTCAAGTGGCAAACTCTTGTTGTTTTCTTTGGATCAGCTCTGGTTTTCATCAAACCTCCCCATTAGCTAATTAAACTTGAGACAACAGCAGCAAAGTAACCCAGCAAAAACAAACAAACCTAGATAGTTTTTCTGCCACTTTCTGCAAAGTGATGAATTCCAGGGCTGATGCAAGGGGTGGAGAAGACCACACAGCTGGGAGCAGTGGAGAGATGAGCAGGGAAAGGAAAAGAGCAAGTCCTTCCTTTTTTGGTGGTGGGAGACTGCTACGAGATTAGCCCAGCTGCTGGGGAAATTACAGTCTAAGAAATGACAGAAAGTTTCCAAGGCATTTGAGGCAGTACACTTATGTCTGTTATCTTCATGCCACCCAACTGGTTCATCAGTTTTGTACACAAAATAAACATATAAACCAAAGTAACTGAAATTGATTGTTAAGCATCTCAGACATCAGCCATGCCCTCACCTACAGTACTGCGCTACAGCAATGCCAAGACTGGAGGGTTGGCATTAATCCAAGATAAAACTAACATTTTGTAAAATGTACCAAAACTTGCATATAGGCAGGGCTGCGTTTGGAAGATACTGAACAAAGACAGTCCTCTTAAGAAGGACAAAAGGATTGGGTTGCAAGGGCTGGTTAATGCAGATCAAGGAGGAGCAAGTCCCTGTAGGAGAGGTATGAAACCTTAGGCAAATTTCCCCTGACACAAGACTGACAGATATTTCACATTCTGGGTTCCCAGGCATGGGAACAGGAACAAGCATGAAGAAGTTTCATTCTGCTTATATGGTTTTCTTCTCTAGTTTAAATGGAGAAAAACGAAAGCAGGAGCTGTGGAGAGTGAACCAGGAGAATCACACCATTCTGGATAGAATTACAAAGTCCCAGCCTCAGTATCAAGTTCAGCGATGGCATGAGGATTGGCAACGAGCTGAAAAATACATGGCCAACGTTGCAAGATATCCTCGTGGGCGGTGTAAATCACAGAGCCGAAAGGTGGCCCTGAGCTTCTGTTCTTTCCTTCCCAGTTATTTCTAGATTGGAACTGCCCATAGAGTGCATTTCGCTGTGCTTTTGTGCTGGGGATTAGCTGCACATGGCAGCCAGCCGCACAATTAACAGCCTTTCATTTATACAGCTACTCTGATCAAATGAATCCCAGAGCGCTCTTCAGACTTTGTTAGGTGATTTGTAAGTGCTATAGTTTGTACAATCAGACTGTCCACCATGGAGAGATGGCGCTCTGAGAAATAAATTTAAAAATAATTATTACAAAAAAGAAGCCATGGCTTACCAGTTCCCTGAGAGAAACGGCCAAACACTGCAGCAACATTTAAGGTGACCAAGTGGGCATATGCATTGAGGGCTCCAAAACCTACACTGGCCATTCTGTGCAAAGTAACCAGCTTCTTATTTTCGTTAGTAACAGAGGTAAAGAAAACAACAACAAAACAGCTATATCAGGTATTAACAATCTTTCCCAGAGAAAGAAAATTGACCGTCTTTAACCTTTCCACATCTAAACTCCCTGGCTTTTTAAGCCCACTAACTCACAAACTCCCAACTTTCCTCCCAAGCCAGAGGAAGCTGCAGCACTGCCCACCAGGCAGGGAGTTGGCATCAGCTCTGCCTTTACTCATCCTCCCTATCACCTTGGACTGCTGGCCCTCCACGGTCATGTGTCTGGATTTGGGAGCTATGTCCTCTGTCATGCGAGTCTGATTCAATATATACGGGTGCGGCTCAGCCCCTGTATTCACTACCTTACCCATTACCTCTGGCCTGAGGCCACTGAAATAAATCTTTTTCAAGTCTAGTTTCTGAACATACGTAACAAGATTTTCAAAGGTGTAGCTCATCCAAATGTGTCTGAGTCTTTGGAAGACAGTAAGTAGTATTTCTTTTATCCCAGGACTATCCTTTTGCCAAATCTTTGGCCCCAGTTCTAATTTCAGAGAATTTGCTCAGGAGAGGTAAAGCACTCAAAAGAAAAAGCAATAAAAATTGTGGCATTGTAAACAAGAAACAGAACCTCTTGCCAACTTCTGTCCTGAAACCATTCTTGAATTCAGCCATATCATTTCAAATAAAGACCTCCAAAACTAAGTCTGAGGCAGAAAGCAAGTATAGAAAGCTTCAACCCAAACAGCTAAGATTTGACAAAGAAATAAGCAACTAAACCAGAGGATTCTACAATGGAAAATATTAGGCAGCTTTAATTACCGTGGAAGTATTGTTACAAACCAAAGAATTATATTAAAAATAGTAAGGTTGTAAAGCCAGGTGATCCATAATCAGAAAGTACCAAAATTACATCTGTAAGATATTTTTCAGGTATTTATATGTTCACCAACTTTTGATTTTGGCAGTTTTTTATAAATGCATAAACAAAGTCTCATAGAGAACTAAATACATCCTGCAACCTTCCCCACATCAACAGTTAAGTCTGTGCTCTATAACTAACAGGTACTAGAACACCTGTAAGAAGTAGTCACTAGAAAACACCTTTTTCCAGTCTCCAGAATCAAGGCAGTGACCGGTTCTTTATTTTACATACATTTATATTGACAGGCTCTTTTCTGGCAGGAAGAGCAATTTAAAAAGAAAACATCTAAACGAGGCAGAAAAAGAGAAAAGCAACTGAAAGAAGGTGTGAAACATAAGTTGAAGGAAAAAGAAAGAGAACATGTCCACCGGAGAAGGGGAAAGAACAACTAGAACAAGACAGAGTTCCAGAAATAGCATTATTCCAGTAGTCTCCTGTGAAAGCAATTTAGGAAGTAGCAAAGGGCTCTTACTCCCTCTTGGATAACTATGGCATTTGGAAATATTGCTGTCCTCAGCCTTCTGCTTTGCCCTTATTCTGGAAGTCACTCTTTTCCTGGCATGGTGGACCAGCAGAACAGGGGGCTGCGAACCCATTTTGTGGTTGTGACCTTATGCCTCAGCATACTTTTGATTTCTGTAGTTTAAGTTAAAATACCACTGTCCCTATGCAGGTGATACCTTCCAGCATTGGAAAAGACTGGACTTATGAGTGTGGTAATCTTTTCAACTACACAGCTAAACTCAGCAAAAATTGTAAGCAGAACTCCAGAAGGAGCTGGGGTGCCTGGCAGAATCAGGTGGAAGGACTCCTATAGTTTAGGATCCTATGTGTTTAAGTATTCTGTAAGAGTGTAGATATTAAAGACACCGTGTCTTCAGTAGAGTGAAAAAAAGCATAAAGCAAAATGGCATAAAAGCCATTTCCCTTACAATTAGCAACAAAACTCCTCTCAGTTTATAAGAGCTAGCAAAGAAGGAGCCTAACTGGGAAAAGGACTGTAAGCGAGCAACTGTAGCATAACTAATTGATCTGATTAAGATTTGGGCTTTTTTTCCCACATGACAATTCTCATCTCAGTATCCAAGGACTCCCCAGTGAGGACCCAGTTGGCCGACAGTAAATACTTCAGAGTGAGGGTTTGAAAACTCGTCAGAGGCTCTTCTGAAGCCTCTGAGCTGCTTGCTACAGAAAAGGGAGAGCCCTTGGTGGACCAACGCCCTCCCACCGCAGTGACACTTCCTTCTTTACCCATGATTTGATGCAATTTTTGTGTCAGTCACAGTAATTGCATTCACAGAGCAAAAATACTGAAAATACATAAAATTTGTTTCTAGCTTCCCTTTTAATGGGATTTAGCAGCTTGAAACAAGGAGAAACAGCACCAGGTGACCCATCAGCACTCTGCATGTTATAATCTACCACTCTTCTACACCATCATTGATCTGCAGTTCAGCAGACAGACACTTCTGTTCTGAAACATATATTCTGTATTTCTTATTTTTAATTGTGCTTCCTCAAAAGAAAACGTGTATTAAAATCACAAACTGATCTTAGCATAACCAAGCGAGGTAGCATCAGTTCTCTCAGAAGATGTATCAATCGAAACCAAGCATCAAACTAGTACTGTTGTGGTTTAACCTGGCAGGCAGCTAAAACAACCACACAGCCGGTTGCTCACCCCACCCCTCCACTGGAATGGGGGAGAGAATCAGAAAAAAACAAAAAAAAGTGAAACTCATGAGTTGAAATAAAGACAGTTTAATTGAACAGAAAAAGGAGAGAAGAATAATAGAATATACAAAACAAGTGATGCACAACACAATTGCTCACCACCCGCAGACTACTGATGCCCAGCTAATTCCCAAGCCGCGGTCCCACCCCAGGCCAGCTTCCCCCAAGTTATATACTGAGCATGACGTCATATGGTATGGAATGTCCCTTTGGCCAGTTTGGGTCAGCTGTCCTGGCTGTGTCCCCTCCCAGCTTCTTGTGCACCCCCAGGTTTCTCATTGGCAGGACAGCAAAAAGTCCTTGACTGCTTGGCAACAACTAAAACATGTGTGTGTTATCAACATTATTCTCATCCTAAATCCAGCTATACCAGCTACTAGGAAGAAAATTAACTTTATCCCAGCCAAAACCAAGATGTAGCTCTTGCTTTATCTGAAGTAGAATTTCATCTGTAATCATTTTGGAGGCTGCCAACTTTCCAAGCAGACACCCCAGCAATAACTATTTACTTCCTGACACTTGAAAATGCTAAGACATTTTCTCCTTTCTCACTTGCAATATGGATCAGTGAGCAATGTTTGAAATGCTAATGATGCCAACTTACTTTCTGAAGCACAGAAACTCTAAAATACAAGACTATGTCTTTATAGTACTGATCTGAGAGTAGAAATAACAGCTACCATAACCACCAATGCTCCAGCACCTCAGTGACTCTGTTGTACAACTGCAAATTCCTGGCTTTAAAAGTCACAGGTTCCCAGGGCAAGATCTCCAAACCAACCACATTAGAGAGAAAAGCTTCACCATACCTAAGTACCTGGGTCAAGAAGGAAAAAGGATTGTTGTTTGCCCAAAGCAATAGCGGGACTGGCCTACTGTGCTGTGGCAGTATGTCCTAGCGTGCATTGAGTATGCCCACACTCACTGCAGAGGGGGTGACCTCCACACAGGGGTGAGCCACAGGGCTCCGTGGCTGGATAGAGGTCATCTCAAGCCACCAGCCGTGATGGGAGAGTGCCAGGACAGATAAACGCATCCTTTGTCGTGCACCTGTTACAGCAATCACATTGGGCAACCACGCGTCAACTATTCTCTCCAACAGTACCTGATTTCTAAAAGAAGGGTTATGCACCCTTTAAACAAGAGCCAAAAGACAGTAATTTAATGAACCAAAACTTCCCTCACTATCAGAAGGAAGATGCCAGCTTGGCTTTAATAGCAGTTCTATTTTTTAATGAAAATGTCCTATGCTCTTATGGCTGAAGTCAAACACCCCTGAAGTCCCCCACTTCACGTGGTCCCAGGTTGGATCATCAGGGGCTTTGTAAGGGGCCAGCTATCCTTAACAAGTTGTATCATTGAACCAAACAAAATTTTTGTTTCCTTTTCTTCTTTAAAAGCTTCAGATTGGGGTGATAATAACCTAAAAGGTTTGACTGAATCCACTTGCCTTATAATTAAGTAGAAATGTTACTGTCTTCAAATCCCTGGCTCCAAAGTTAAAACACTTTGCTACTGAAACACTGGGACGATTGCAAACTAAATACTTGAAACAAAAGAGAACTAAAGTACCACTATAAAAAAGAGTGTTAACAGTTAATCTGAGGGTCAAATTCTGCTTCCATTTTCACTATTGTAAATCCAGGCTAGCAGCCTTATCTTTACTGTAATTGCTGTGGATATAATAACCTTACATTAAGAAACCATGTCAAAAGAAAACTTGCGATGAAGTTTTAAAGATGGCTGGGCTGAGCTTAACTACCAGCTCACTGCCATGGAAAAAAGGAGGTCACCCTCCCCCTTTTACTCTTCTCCTTGCACCCTTCTTCCATTCCCCTTGTCTTACACCAATGCTTGTGCTCTTTAAACCCAGAGCAAGGTCAGCTCTAGAATAAAAGTCACAAAGGAAAGGGTTTTGTTGTTGTTTTTTTCTTTT